ACCACGTTGAAGGATATTACTTTTGATCAAACTTATTGATTAAAAGGGGGTAGGTCAACTCTCTTACAAGTTGATCTTGCAAGTCCTATTATTCGGATCTTGCAGTTGTTGAAGAAGCTTGACCTTCGAAGGAACAACAAAGCCAGCACGAGTGCAGTAGCAACATTGGTCTTGTGAAGATATACCGTGCAGAAATTCACACAAGTGTAACTGTTGGTTCATTATTCAACAACCAACTACATAGTGGATTTTGAGGACGTAGAAGGATTACCCCACCTTCGAACCTCGTTAAAGTTTGCGTGTCTCTCTCTCTTATCTTTATTCTTACTTGCAATTATATTAACTGTGAAAACTAACCTATCCATATTAATTACTGCTCACTCCACCCACCAAATTCCGCACACAATCTAAAGTTCACAAGGACTCTAGATTAACACTCATTTTCTCATTTTCAAAAGAAACGAAAAAGATTTTAAACTTGTAACAAAGTCTATTCACCCCCCCCTCTAGACTTTGTATTTCACCACTTTGGGATCACCATTAAGTGTGAGTTTTAGGTTCTAGATGTTTGATTAAGTGTGTAATATCTTAATTGAATACTAGATTTAAACCCCAAGTTAAGATAAGAGTGCGTAATATCTCTTAACACCAACTTAGTTTTATCCATAACTGATTTCTTCCATTTCATATCTCCCCATTTCTCTTCTTAATCTTATTCTTTTCTTCCATTAAAAACACAAAAAAAGAACTCCTTTTTCCATAAAAAATTCCGTGCACCTCCATTTCCCCTTCATCATCACATATTTCCACCTCAAAACACCAACTTCATCATCACATATTTCCACACTCCTTCAAAGACAATATTGAAACGCCATTGGCTCCGTGTACTCTACTTCCCCAAGAACCATCTCATTCCATACTATCAATATTTGTCAAACCCAATCTTCCAAAACCAAAAGAGTTGCTGCACAAACAATTGTTTGAGCAAAATGGATCTTTATGCCTCTTTGAGAGTTTTCCATGCGTGCCATCCCTTGAAAATGGAAACCATGAAACCATGTCAGCACTAATGGCCTTTGGTGCCAATATTTTTGTGTTTAATCTGCAGGGATACCATCAAGTTATACATGGAAGGAAGAACACTTTATCTAAGTGTTCTAGTGTTGATTCAAGGCAAGGCATATTCAAAGAAGAAGGTCTAAACATGATCAGTTCAAGCCCCTATTGCAAGCCTAAAGAAAATTCGAGTTTGAGGGCAAACTCTTTTGAAGACGGGGAGGATGATATACCCGAGCCCGGCCCTATCATTCCCTCTCCCACGTCCCACACCCTCATGGAAACCAAAGGACTTATATTCAAACATTATGATCCATTTTAGTTGAATTCAAAGGTCCTAAAACCTGAAAGGCCAAAACAACCTCTGTTTGACCCGAGGGTTTACTTTCAGTCCCATTTCAGTCCAAAACAATCTCAAAACATCCAAAAGTATTTTATCTCTATTTCATATCCAAAATAAAGTATTTTCCTTCATTTTTACAGCCTTGGACAAAAATAGGACCAAAAAGACAAAACAAAAACATTTTGTGTGTTGTTTTCTTTCTTTATATTCCCTTCATTGAATAAAGCCTTCCCCCACTCTTCCCCACTTCATAACCACGAAATCCCATCCATTTTTGTCCCAAAAATCTGGCCACAATCATCCCATTACCAAGCAAGACACAACCTGCTCATTAAAATCAATTCAGGAGACATTGATTAGATATGTCTTTTGTTTTGTTGTGTAATATCATCAAGGCATCATCCCCTCACATTTTCTTGTCCCTAGGCCGAATCCACCCTCCCAAATCAAGCAAAGCATCATTCAAATGTGACCAGATACACCCCCCTTTGTCCCATGGCCAAATACATCCCCCCTTTGCCTTGATTTTGCATCTGGCCAAACAAACCTATTTCCTCATGTCCCCCCCTTCACCATCCACGAAATTACCACCCCAAATGGAGCCAAAATGAAAGCCTTAAGAGCCTTTAACCTTGGTCAATGAGGACAGCCCATTAAGGATAAAACACATGGTCACTACAGCCCTACACAACCACACCCCCATCTCTGATTTTATCCCATCAAAAGGACACAAACACATGGTCATTACAGCCCCAAAAACCACACCCACATCTATGATTTTATCCCACCAAGAGGACACAAACACATGGTCATTACAGCCCCACAAACCACACCCCTATCTCTGATTTTATCCCACCAAGAGGACACAAACACATGGTCATTATTTTCATGATTTGAGAGAGGAAGTTTCTTGGTAGTTTCTTTGTATTTGCATTCATTGTATTTGTGTGTCCCCCCCTTTTACTCTTATAAATTTCGGCCATATAGCCCTTGTAACACACAACTTTGAATATTAAAAACTTTGTTTACTCTTTGAGTATTCTTAAAATAGTGTGATGTTATTTTAGTCCAATTCCGAATTCTATATCTTAAGAGTGGTTATCTTAAGTGTGAGTTTTAGGTTCTAGATGTTTGATTAAGTGTGTAATATCTTAATTGAATACTAGATTTAAACCCCAAGTTAAGATAAGAGTGCGTAATATCTCTTAACACCAACTTGGTTTTATCCATAACTGATTTCTTCCATTTCATATCTCCCCATTTCTCTTCTTAATCTTATTCTTTTCTTCCATTAAAAACACAAAAAAAGAACTCCTTTTTCCATAAAAAATTTCGTGCACCTCCATTTCCCCTTCATCATCACATATTTCTACCTCAAAACACCAACTTCATTAGACCCCTGGTTCTCCACCTAACACTACGTATGTTCCCAACCCCCTCCATTCCTCCCCTCACACCTACACCTCAAGCTTCAATTGAAAACCAACCCCTCTCTACCCCCAACTCCTGTCCAACACTCCCACCCCAATCCGTCCCCAAAGTCGTGTCTTTAAGCCTACCACAAACCCCCAAGAGTACCCTTGAAGAGTCATCTTTCTTCATGGTTCAAACCCCCACCTTTGCTCCCCAATTTTCTAAGTCCGAACTACCTTACTCTCAAACTACCGAAACCATGCAGCCCACTACCCCAAAGATCATTTGGGATGAATATGATGACGAGGACTATAATCCCATTTGGGATGACGAACTTGTCAAAGAGAATGAAGAAGTGTTTGAAGACACAGAGGATAACCCGTTTTGGGTTACAAAGATGACAGAAGAAGATCAAGAAGAGAAGACCCACAAAGAAGCCATCACTCCGCTCGAGACCTATCTTCGTTAACGGTAGTTTGTACCACACGTGTTGAGTTTTTGCAGGTCCCGTATGAAGAAAAGATTGAGGAGAGTCGTGACTCGAAATGGCCCATTCAGCCCGGCGACCTAGTATGGGTTCACGTTCATAAGGCGCGTTTATTTAATAAACGCAAGTCAAAGCTACAACCCCGAGACGATGGCCCGTTTGAAGTGTTGGCAAAGGTTCACAAAAACTCCTACGTGGTCGATCTTACACGAGGCCTAAAAATCACTGCCACATTCCATCGAAGGGATCTTAGCCCGTACGAGGATTTTGAAGATCTTCCGAGTTTGAGGACAAACTCTTTTGAAGACCGGGAGGATGTTATATCCGGGCCTGGCCCTATCATACCCTCCCCCATGTCCCACACCATCATAAAAACCTGATGTACCCCCGGATGGCTCAAGCAAAACCACCCTCTCCCAAATATCCAATCTCTCCTTTCTTTTATCAAAAATAAAATCTTTTCCATCAAAATGATACCAAAGAAGACAAAATAAAACCTTTGTTTCTTGTTTTTGCCTTTTCAAACAAAACCACAAAATATTCTCCTCTTTCTGTCCTAATTTTGATCCTGAAAGCATGAATAATCGATTATCTGTATTCTCAGAAAATACCCAGCTTTGTGCAAGCCTTGTTAATTGATTGATCATGCTTGTCAATCGATTATTGGGTTCCTCAGAACATTCCCAGTTTGAGCTAAACTCTATTAATCGATTTACTAAATGTGTTAATCGATTATTCCATACCCTGAATCCTGAGTGAATCTGTTCCTGTTTATTTATCCTAAGATTGGGTATAAGGCTAAAATTATGTCCTGATTTTCAACAAAGAATAAAGCCTTTTCTTCCACAAAACAAAAGCATAATCACTTTTGAAACAAAGGAACAAAATTCAGAAACAAAGTCATTGAATGAATAGTGCTGTTTTGGCATTTTATTCACAAAAGTCTAAAGCTTGATTCCCCTTTGTTTTCTTCCTTATATGCACAAAATTTCCCCCTAAATAAACCCAAGGAAGATCAGCCCAAAATCAGGAGAAGCATCTTGGAAAATCAGCTCACATGGATGGACATTAATCTTTGATTTTTAGGAAAGAAGTAGGAAGTTTCCTTTATTGTATTTTTCTTTATTTGTTGTTGTATTTCCCCCTCCATTGTGGCCTATATATACACAGGCATATGGCCATTGTAAGACAGCCATGGATTGAATAAAAACTTCTTTGTTTTACTCTTTGAGTAATTCTTTAAAATAGTGTGATGCTATTTTAACCAAATTTCCTAATGAAATATCTCTAAAGTTGGCTACTTTTGAGTGCGTGTTAGGAGTCTAATTTTATACATTAGTAGTGATTATTAATGTGTAAAAGAAGATAAAAGCCCCAAGTTAAGATAAGAGTGTGTCATATCTCTTAACACCAACTT